AAAAAAAAAAAAAAAGCCAAGCCAAGCAAAACTTATGTGAATGTAAACCAAGATTAGGGTTTTGGTTTTTCTCTCTCTTTTTTATTTTTTTTTACTTTGATCTTGGGTTCTTTGTTCTTTTTTTACCTTTTTCGGGACATTCAAGATTTAGGGTTCTTGAAGAAAGATACTAACTAAACAAGAAGATAAAGAATAAAATAGGCCCCTAAAAATGGGAAAATTTGCAGAACTTTGGAGATCAAGAGGAAAGGTAGGTCAATATTGTTGTGTTTTATCAAGAACAAAATGATAAGCTCATCATAATTAAAGCCATGATATATGAAGTAGATGCTATGCAAAACACAAACCTCATATTGAAGACCTAAATAGAGAGAGAGAGAGAGAGAGAGAGAGAGAGAGAGAGAGAGAGAGAGAGAGAGAGAGAGAGAGAGAGAGAGAGAGAGAGAGAGAGAATGACAGCTGTTTGTATGAGGAGTGAGAGATCTTGCAGATGTTGACTTTTAAGGGACAGCAATAGCCTGACTTTGATTCACACTTTGCACAACATTTATTGTAAGTTATTTGATGTGTATCCAAGTTTTCAAGCATTCTAATAGTTTGAAGAGTTGAAATAATCACCTCTCAATGACTATAATTAATTAATGAACTGCTGGCAAAAATTAATTAATTAATTTAGTTAGGATGATTAGCAAAACACTATTGTCTTCTTCTTTTTTTTTAAACTTCATATCGGTATGTAGTTGCATTTCTTTATTATCGTTGGATCACACGCACTCACACACGCATATGTGCGTTGATTCAATAATAATAAATTATCGTAGAAAAAAACAATCAATTACCCTCTATGTGGAAAAGAAGTTTATATAGTACTATTTCAACAAATTTTGACATAATTGTTATCACAATCATTTAAACTCAGAAGAATGCTACCCTCGCGTTATGAGATGGTTTCATGTATTTTTTAAACGTAGATTATCTACACATTACTAAATTACATATATATCTACGACTACAACAGACAACAAAACATCCCGTAAATAGCATTTTTCATAAACTCAAGCCCAAAAGTAAATTTGGCTAATAATTGCCACCATGAATATAGAAGTTTACTTCAAAACATTAATCAAATCAAACCCCACTATAAAATCAAGATTCTTCTAGCAATAAAATCAAACACACTTCACCAAAATAAAATATTTTAAAGTTGAATAACGCGAAAAAAATGTGACTACATATCCAGTACAAATGTTTCAGAACTGGGACCGTGATCATGTGGTTCTGGTCCACCTAAATCAACCTAAACAGCTAGCCAACTAGGGAATGTACAACCTGCTTCCGCACTTGCACCTCCAAGCTTCCGGGTAGTACTCTGCAGTGATGGGTGTACCCGGGGGCACCGGCAGGTGAACCGGCTCGCACGGCTTGCACTTCCCGCATTTCGAGTTGCACCTTGGGGGCGATGAGCCCGGCCCGCCCAATAGCCTTCTTGGCTTGCTCACGCTCGGTCGTACCCAATCGTTCGGCCCCCAAATCCCGTTTCCCTCCAAATTTTGAAATTTTGACTTCAAGTGAAAAAAAAATTTATAAGGTCAATTAGAAAACTCAATTTTCGTTCATCAAGATTGTAATTATAATAATATATCAGGGGAACATTAAAATAAATGAAAATTTTTTCTTTCATCAATCACCTCTGTTCTTGGTTCAAATTATATAACTGAAGTTTTAAGCCAAAATTAACTAACAGAACAGAGTAAAAGAGGATAAATATCCATACCTCGAACCAATCGTTAACAGTTTTGAGAGTCGACAAACACGAAATCTCTGCAATCGACACGAGAAGAAAAAAAAAACAATGGAATATAACTGAAGAATATATATACATTCAGACGACCTCAATAGTCGATAAATATGCTGTCGTGAGTTCGAGTCCCTTAGTTCTACTTGCAAATTCCGAAAACTTTCCAGCCTAATACTTTCTACGTACATTTCGAAGAAGATTTTAGATCATAAAGTAGTTTATATACATATCATACAACTTTAAACAGAGGAAAATCTGAATTTCCAATATTAACCGGGACAGAAAACGTACCGTAAAAACGAGAAGCTTCGTGACCGACAATATTCCGAGTTGCGTAAACGCAACAAGCCGAGAACAAGAATGTAAGAGAAACAGCACATTTCAACTTCTTAATAAGCCTAATTCTTGTTATAATTTTCTTGCAGCACTCCATAAATCCTCAGGAAAAAAAAAAAATAAATAACTGTAGTAATAATTTGTAATTGTAAGTGTAATAAATATTATAATGAACCCTCTATATAGAATAGAACTACCCCGAAAACTCATTCTATCTCCATGCAACAGTTTTCACGTGCAAACCCTCAAACTTCCTTCAGTTTTCGATGTGGGACACAAAACAGAGACATGAAATTGAAATGAAAATGTGGAAACAAGATTTAGGAACAATAATGGTGCACTAAATTTTCCTCTGCATTTTGCCATGCTTGGTAGTTGGATAGTTTTGGTGCAGGCATTTTGTTTTGTTTTTCTTGGCTGTTTGTAACTTCTTTTTATTTATTTTTTTACTATTTCCCAAACTAAGTAAAAGTAATGATCAACAACTCCCACCCAATTTTCCCCTCCACCATCCCTGTACCTTTTTACAACGGGTTCAAAGACTTTAAATTAACGAGCATATAATGCCATAACAAGAAAAAAAGCAACTGAAACAAAGGTACGTTGCTTTTAGAGCTGTAAACGAGCCGAGCCGATCTCGAGCTTAGGGTGATCAAGCTCGAGCTCGAGCCCTTAACGAGTCGAGCCGAGCTCGGCTCGTTAAGTAAACGAGCTTGACATAAACTCGAGTTCAACTCGTTAAGGCCTCGAACTCGAGCCTTATCGAGTCGAGTTGAGCTCAGCTAGTTAGCCAAACAATTAAGCATTAAATGAGCTCGAGCTCGACTTGTTACACCTATAAGGTGCTTTAACCCATGAATTTGGAAATGAGTTTTCCTGTTTCAGTTTATTCTTTCATTTCGATGTTTCGTTTCATTGGAGTAATAATAAGTATACATTGAGGAAAATCAATTATAAAAACTTAGATTTGACTCGGTTTTTATGGTTAAATATAAAATTCAGGTTGAATTGGTTGAATTAATTTATAGAGAAAAATTTTACGTTGCGAGTATAGGTACTCGTGGTATATTTATTTTATCAAAAATGTTTTTTCACTAAGTGAGAAATAATAATTAAAGGTAGTCATAACTAGACACGTAAAATATTGGTTGTGAGATTCAAATGGTCAAGAGTTCTATATTTCTAAACTCTTAAATTAAATTAGCTCTCTTTATTATATAATATAGAAAGTTGGAGAGGTCCCAACAAAAATAAAAATATATATGCACCAAGTGTTGGTGATGGCTTCAGCGGCACGCACATACTCGCAGGCCGGCAGATTGACTCGGCTCGAGCCTGGGACTCGATGATACCTTGTACATGGAATCCGGTGCTTGCCAATTTTGTGGGTTGAAAATCATATGCAATGAGTTTTTTTTTTTTTTTTTTTTTTTTTTTTTTTTTTTTTTTTTTTTTGGTGGATAAGCCCACTAGAGGCATGATAAATAGGTATCATTAACTATCATTATTTCATAAGTTGTGTGGTGGGTAACTTTTTAAATAAGTTCGTTGAAATCTTTATTTCAGTTAGTTCATCGATTAATTTTACTAAATATTTTTTATCATATAAGCTATTTTTTTCAGCTACAAGTCTGTAAGTTAAACTATTTATAAAACAAAATAATTTTTCCTCTGGAGGAGAAAAATAATTAAATTTTCTTTCACTTCAAAGTTCAAATCCTTTTCATTTCCTTCTATACCCTACAACACACCTTGGAAGAACATGGGGGAGTTGCTTTGAATTTAAAGAAACTGTGAAATTAGATTATATGAAGTGAAATTTTCTGTTCGTGTTCTTTCTCTTCAGAGTTTCATCTTCTTTGCGTTTCTTTTTAATTAGCTTAGTAAATCTGGCAGACCCATTTTGATTTCGAGTAGACCTCGAGTATTTTGATTTCGAGTCAACCTCGAGCCGTGCTTGAGCGACTGTACTTTTTATCGAGTCGAGCTTGAGGAACTAAAAAAAAAGAAACAATCATGCTCGACTCGGCTGGTTTGCAGCCTAGCTGGGATGAGTGATTAAATTATATGCTGGAATTTTACTTATTTCAGAATGAAAGTAAATCTGTAATTAAATTATATGCTGCAATATTGAGCATCTGATCATGATATTTGCATAATACACTGATTCATCTGGAGATTCAATTTAAGTGTTTATGATCATTGGATATACTGTATACTTGCCACATTTGCTTGCTTCATTCTTATTGTCACATTTTCTGGCTTAGTATTTGTATCTTCATAGATTCTCTTTGAATTCTTGTAGAAAAAAATAAAAAACTGTCAAATTACAACATTATAAATAAAATTTTAGCATATAAAACTCCTCTTACTGTTCCTTCACCATATTAGAACAAATCGTTGCAAAGCTCTCCGTAAAACCGGCCCACCAAACCGATGAAAACAGGACACCTCAGATTCTTCCAGCTGTACAAAAGATCCTCGACTTCCGCTAACCCCTTCATCTTCCCTTCTTCCACGATCATTTCTACCAAGTGCTTCTCGAAGCTCCTGCACGACTCGTCCGCCACGTCGTCATCATGTTCATAATCCGAAGCATCCTTTTGGGTTCGGCCCAACAACCTTACGTACGCGGGCGTGATTGGCGAAGGGTGTGGTGCCGTTTGATGATAACCGGCATCCGAAAAGCTCTTGAGATCCGCGACCCGTTCCCCTTTCCGGGCCCGCCTAAGTGAAGTCAAGACCGACACGATTCTCGGGATGCGTTTTTCTTTTGTGGTGGCTCGAGTTTCGTTTCTGGGTCTCTTGCGATGGAACCGGAGGGCTCGTATGAAGAGCGGCTTGTGGGGTACTCGGAATTTGAAGAGATTTATTAGGATCTTCTTGCACGACTTGAGAAGCTTGTGTTTCAAGGTACCTCTATTCATTATCATGATGTAATGTCTTTGTTTTTTTTTTTGGTTTGATTTGTTGATAAATGGTGAATGAGTCTCCTTAAAGTGAAGGGGTTTAAGTAAAGGGATGAGAGTGTTGTTTTGTTTTGTGTGGAATTCACGTCTAGTTTTGATGGGGGGAAAGTGGTACACCATGAATTGGAAAGTGGTGTACCATATAATTAAGTTTGGACTTTTCAAAGCTCTATATATGTCTCTCTTAGCATTGAAGCATCATTTTTCAATTGGCAAGTCTTTATTCTAAATTTTTGCTTGAGTTGCTTTTCATGAATTGAATAATTATAGAATCTAAAGCCATGTTGTTAGGAGCATCTCCAATATATTTTTTTTTTTTATTTTTTTTTGGGTACAGGGATCTTCCGGTTTCCAGATCCACAGGGGAACCGACTAATCTGGAATCGAGCCGTGTAGGACCAAAAGGGCGGCAAAGCTCTCGGCATGTATTGTCGTTGGGCTGCCCTATCCGTAACACAGTCATATCTTCTTACAAAAAAATATATACTTGTATTATATTATTTAAAGTATGACATTTGAGTATGTAATTGTGTGTGATATTTGTTGAATATTAATAGAAGACCTACCTTTAAATGTTATGGGACATGCTACAGTTCCGTTACGGAACCATTCCGTCAGATTTGTAACCGTTAGATCAACTATTATCGACGGTTACATAATGATCTAACGGTTACAAGCTCGACGGAATGGTCCCGTAACGGGATCGTAGCATTTCCCAAATGTTATAATGAAGTTCTAACTATAAAACTCGAAAACTTCTCCAAAATAACACATCATAATATTGTTCACTTGAGCATTAGACAACCATAACTTAGAAGTATAATAATAGAATAATAATAGAAGAAATGAATAGCTTTGAATTATATTTGTATTTTGTGAATATTTACTCTATTTGTTAGTTATTAGAGCATATAAGAAAAAAGTGAGTGAACTATACATCATTCTCTACTTCGTTATATTAGTTATGCACCCATAATCTCTACCAGTGTAGTGTTTTATATATCATACTGGTAATCATACCAGATGAGCAACCGGTACGCGGTTTAATCAGTTCAACTGTTTTACAGTCTATTCAACTGGTTTTACAGTCTATTTTACCGATTCTAATGAATACTAAATTCATTTGTCATTATAATATTAATAATGTTTAATACTAACTTTAATAAATACTAAAATTAATTA